ACCAACACAGGTGCGGTAGTCAGTCTCTCCTTTAACTCCTGAAAACATTCCTCACACTCGTGAGTCCACACAAATGGAGTCTCCTTCTGGGTAAGGCGAGTCATTGGCATAACCAACATGGAGAATCCCTTGATGAACCTCCGGTAGTAACCTGCCAAACCCAGAAAACTCCTCACTTCAATTACCGTCTTTGGCCTCTCCCAAACAAGAACGGCCTCAATCTTGTTCGGATCCACTACAACTCCTTCGGCAGAAATGACATGCCCAAGAAACTTTACAGACTTGAGCCAAAACTCAAATTTGGAAGGCTTAACATAAAGCCTTTTCTCCTTCAGCACTTGCAACACAATCCTCAAGTGCTCAGCATGCTCCTCCTCCGTCTTGGAGTAAATCAATATGTCGTCAATGAAGACGATCACAAACTGGTCCAGGTACGGCTGGAAAATCCTGTTCATGTAATCCATGAACACTGCGGGTGCATTTGTGAGTCCAAAAGGAATCACCAAATACTCATAGTGACCGTATCTCGAACGAAACGCGATCTTCGGGACATCCTCCGGCTTCACCCAAATCTGATGGTATCCAGACCGGAGACCTATCTTTAAATACACACAAGCACCCTTCAGTTGATCTAACAGATCATCAATACGCAGAAGGGGCTACTTGTTCTTGATTGTCACCTTGTTCAGCTGCTTGTAATCGGTTCACAATCGCATAGTCCCATATTTCTTCTTCACGAAGATGACCGGTGCTCCCCAAGGAGACACACTCGGCCGAATTACCCCTGCTTCCTCTCCTGAGCATCATAAGGGAAGTACCGACCCAGAAAGCAGTCCTCGAAGAATGGCCATGTCATAACATGACCCTGCATCTCAAATGCATGCGAGGTGTTCATCCACCACTCGTGGGCATCGCCCTCCAGCTTATATGTAGCAAACATCAATTTCTGTGGATCTGTACACTGCATGACCCGGAAGATCTTATCTAGCGCCTGTAGCCATCTAGCCGCAGCAATAGGATCGTAAGATCCATCAAAATTAGGTGGCTTATGCTTGCGAAAAGCATTAAGCCGGCGATCAATCACATCTCTATCTTCAGCAGGCTCCACAAAGGGTTCCATCACCCCAGTGAGTTGACCAGTGCCCTCAACATGGCTCTGGCTCTCGTCCTACTGACTAGGTAGAGGCGGCGGCGGCGGCGGCAGTGGCGGTGGAGGTGGTGGCGGAGGGAAATGACCAACAGCAGGACCAGCCCTCATCTCCTCCAACATGACCCTCATCATGGTCATGATCGCCACCCGGTTCGCCTCAAGAGCATACTCTGTTGCCTTCTGGTCTGTTGCCTTCTGGTTCGCCTCACGAGCGGCGTCCATCATTGCCACGTTGGACAATCTAGCGGCCTCCTGCATCTCAGCTAATGCAGTCATGATCGGGTCGGGTTGTCCCTCAGCAGTCTCGCGAGTTCTCCTGGGTATTACCATGACTCTGCACAAGTTACACAAATTATGAGTTGATCAGGCCCACACAATGTGATCACCTATGCCTTATTATAATAACACTCAACGGAGCAAACACACAAGACAAGACACAACCAAGCATCCTAGTTATTGCAATACATACAGACTTTTCCTAAGAAAGTGCTCTGATACCATAAAATGTAACACCCTGTATATATCCGGTTTGTTATCATATCATCCTATTAAGCCACGCTTAATTTAAAAATGCGGAATATCTTTTTCTGTTCAATTATGACGTCATTATCAGTAGCCAAGTTGAATTACTTAATTCATTTCATAAAACATCGCCTTTGTGAAAATTGAAAAAGACACCTAACTGAAATACCTCATAACATAAATAACATAATTATGTCTCTAGTCACAGAACTACAACACGTAGACCGGACAACCCTAATAGTTTATACAACTTAAGCTGGAAGTACTAACATCAATGTGGCAGGGACAAACCCTATGCTCACCAAATAAGGCAACAAATCCAAAGAGAGTCTCAACTTAAATATCAATATAAAGACAGAAAACATAAACAGCATCCAATATCCAGTCATGTCAGCATACAACATATATAATCAGCTAAGCTCCGGCCTCCTGCCGCCAGAGGTCTCAACCCTCGCATTACCTGAACCTGAAATATGTGCCCTAAACGTGGGGTGAGATCTCTAAAAACAAATCTTAGTAAGACAAGGGGTCCTCAAGGATCTTCCACCCCAAGCTCACTTACACGAGCAATATAAGTTCAAAAGCATTTAACAGTATAAGTTCCAAAACTATGCAGTGCAACAGATATTCATGCCATGTGTGTTTTAACTATTCTACTGACCAAAGAAATGCAGGACGTACGTCTACAACCCCAAAATAAGTACAAGGAACACCGCTTGCACCTCACCCACAACCTCACCCTCTTGTATGTACCCCATACTCAGGCTTACCGTATAGGTGGAACACCACATGCATATCATAAAGGCACTTTCATATAACAGCTCAACAGAATTTCACAAATCAATATCATGAAAACAACATCATGCATATAACCATACCCCCATGGCACATGGTGGAACCAACAATGGCTAAACCGAGGACACGAAAGCTTACCTTGCAAGCTAACTATCTAATGCCAAGAGTCCACACTAGCTCAAAGCCCTAACACAGCAGAATCACAATCTGTTTTGGACCAACAATATATCAATATTCATGCTTAACAAGCATAAGACACAAAGACAATGCCTTTCTTTTACGTTTTACGCCTTTAGGCCTCTCACAAAGCCACAAGCCCTTAATCACTTAGATTCTGACTTATATTAATCATTACAGAAGTCCACAGTAGCCAATCATGGGTCCACAAACCCAAAATAGCATTATGTATGAACAGTACCTTCATTGTTCAATAAAACCCAGAATATCCAGATATTTGTTAGGGGCATATCCGAATATCAATATCCGGATATCTCTCTGCCAATATCCGGATATTCAGATCCCCATATCCGGATATCATATCCAGATATTTATATCTGGACATCTATATCTGGACATCCATATCAGGATATTTCGCGACAGAATGCAGTTCTGCATTTCGCGAGATATCCTTCTCAAAGGTGGTTCATTTCATGCACACAGAAGCTTAAACATGCGATTTAAGGTGTGTTTAACATTACCCAACCCCAAGTTATCAACTTTAGATCATAACATGCATCAAGGTTCCATTTTTAAGCTTTAAAACTCATGATCATGGTTGGTACAACTCACCCAAGCTTCAAACAGAAGCATAAGGTGCTCTTGGAGCTTACTTGAAGCTCCCAAAGTCCAGCACACACAAGGACACAAAAATGGTGCACAAACAAGGTCCTTCCTCTCTAAAGGTTGCTTCTTGGATCACCAAGCACCTAGACTATAACACCACAACCCCAAAACCAGAAACTCTGTCCCTCACACCACACAAGGCAGTGCCAAACTCAGAATGATGCACCCTCCCAACTCACAATACACTACACTAAGTGTTTGATGAAGAAACTAAGAAGAAAGATGCCTTCTTGGCTCACAAGGTGATGGAGAAGGAGAGAACCACAATGGAACAGTGAAAGAGAGCTGGTCAGCCACCACAAGCACATAGGAAATCTGTTATGGCCTAGGGTTTTGGGCCAACTAATGTATTTATAGTGTTTTAAGCCTTAAGCACACAATATTAGCGCTAAATGCTACGCTTAGCATTTCAATCCTAAACTTTGGAATCTGAACCTACTCATTTTTCTAAGATTTATCATATTTTTATTTTATTTTTTGCAGCACCTTTCTAGTACGCACTTTTCCATAGCCAGTATCAGTTCTGGTACCAGTTCTCATTATTTTAACTTGAAACTTGTTTTACAAGTCCTATATATTATTCTAGTGACATATACACACTTTTCATAATTTTCCGGGATACTTCATCGGTACGCATTTATACCGAGTAGAAGAAACGGTATCTGCACTTTTCGTCAGAAAAGTGATTTTCCGCATCATTACTCACTTACTATAATTATCTAAGCCTCATAATAATTATTAGGGTCAATTATGGAATTATTTCCTAATTTCACATAATTAATTAATTAACTTCCTTAATTAACAGTGCATGTTCTTAAACAAGTTGCTGGATAGGACACTTATTGTTGAGATTTGCCTTTTCATCTGCACTCCCTCATGCCCTGCTTTCTTCTTAGCCAATAGGAACTCTTTATTCTCTGTTGTGCACATTTCTTCCTACTTGATTGTTGTACCCTTTATGCTTTATGGAATCTTCTTTTCAACGTTACCTGCAAAGTGTACAGAGAGATTGAGTTAGTAGAGCAGGTGTATTTAATGTTCCCATTTTGTTCCTTTTTTCTATATTTCTCAAATAATTACATCATCATCCGTTCCCCCACTGTGTTTTTGTCACGAAGATATAAATATGTGTTTTTAATGCAAAAGTTGCTCATCAGATGAGGGAATGAATAGTATTTTTGCCATCAAAATGGGCTTAGATGGGAATGAATTCTCGTCCCATCATGTGTCAATGGAAATTAAACGCATACAGAGAAAGGAACTTCCATGAGGAAGAGATTTCAGACAGCTTAATCAGAGGGGGAAAGTAGTGTTGTGAAAACAACAATGTTGGTTGCCTTAGGAATAAGGAACTACCTCATTCACTGAAGGTCATGTACTTAGTAACTGTTGGAGTCAAGAGAGCCATAGGAATATGGAAACTTGTGATTTATTTTTTCCATGAGCTGAGGAATCAGAGTTGGCAGTGAAAAGACCTGAACAAACTCAGAAGGGTTAAGTCTTGAGTGGAGAATATAGCTATTCAAGAATAGAACAGTGGATTCGTTCCTTGTGTTAAAAATTGTTTTATCTCTCCATATTATTGTCTCTTAAATATTGTTATTGTTATTTTCTTTATTCAATCTTGTATCAACAAATCTCCAATGAATATTGTCATATCAACATACCACTGGTGGACGCACTGGAACAAATGCCCAAGTATGTCAAATTCGTGAAAGATGTTCTCTCCAAAAAGAGAAGAATAACAGAATATGAAACTGTGAAAATGTCACAAGAAAGCTGTAAATATTTGGGCAAGCTTCCACGAAAACTGCAGGATCCTAGAAGTTTTATCATTCCTTGTGTAATAGGAAACACTTACCAAGGCAAGGCCTTGTGTAACTTGGGGGCTAGCATCAACCTAATGCCTTCCTCAGTTTTCAAACAATTGACCACTGGCCCAGCAAAACCAACAACTGTAACACTACAGATGGCGGATAGATCCATTGTCAAGCCTGAAGGAAAAGTCGAAGATCTATTGGTCAAGGTAGACAAATTCATCTTTCCCGCTGATTTCATCATCTTAGACTATGAAGTTGATATTGACGTTCCCATCATTTTGAGAAGATCGTTCCTTGCAACTGGAGGAGCAGTCATCAATGTGCAGAAATGGGAACTCACCATGAGAGTACATGATGATGAAATCAAATTCAATGTCCTCAACGCAATAAAGTTCCATGATGTAAAAGAAGATCTGGAATAATGCTCTGTAATTGCTTTGCTAGATAACCATATCAACATGAATTCAGAAGACGAAGAATCAGAAAAAGATGATGAAGGAACAGAAAAAGAAAACAGTCCACAAAAGGAAGAACAGATTCCTTATCTGCAAGAAAGAAAAACTAAACCTTTACAGAGAATTGAAAAAGAAAAACAAGTCAAAAGATCATCTGCAGAACATCCTCCTAATCTGGAAGTGAAACCTCTTCCCCAACATTTGAAATATGCATATCTGGGGAACGCTAACACACTTCCTGTTATCATCTCCTCACTCCTCACCTTGGAACAGATTCTTTCAACTTGTCATCTATGGCGAGTAGTTCATTTTTTTGAATAAGATCATGATTACTCATTGGTTAAGTTTCTGAAATTGAGCTATTCTTTGAAATTGAGCAGCCTAGCCACTATTTCTGAGTTATTTGAGGACAACCAACAATTTAGTTTTGAGGTATTTGATGGGACAAAAATTCGTTCCCATCTAAGCCCATTTTGATGGCAAAATACCATTCGTTCCCTCATTTGATATAGTAACTTTTGCATTAAAAACATGTGTTTATATCTTTGTGAAAAAAATACAGTGAGGAACGGATGATGATGTAATCATTTGAGAAATATAGAAAAATGGGAACGAATTAGGAACATTAAATACACCTGCTCCACTAACTCAATCTCTCTGTACACTTTGCAGGTAATGTTGAAAAGAAGCTTCCATAAAGCATAAGAGGTATAGCACTCAAGTGGGAAGAAACGTGCATAGCAGGGAATAAAGAGTTCATATTGGCTAAGAGGAAAGCAAGGCATGAGGGAATGTAGAAGAAAAGGCAAATCTCAACAATAAGTGTCCCATCCAGCAACTTGCGTCCCTCAAAGCACTATTCACACCGCCCCTTTCATGCAGTCAAGAAAACAGCTCAATGAAAATTGTAAGTTTTTCCACCCACTCTTCTGCCTATAAATAGGACGTTCCAGAACGAAGAAATGATCGAATTCCTTAAGAATAGATCACTTAGTTTCCTTTGTAGTTTTTCGTTGTATAGTTTTAGCAATAGTTAAGTGACAACAACTTCTCCTCTATTCTGTATCACCCAATTGAGACTTCTCACGAGCAGCAATCATACTTCTCCATTTTCATTTCGTTGTAACCTAACTTGTTTCTGATTAATATAACGTGTTATTTCTCTTCTCTTCCATTCGTTATCTCTGAACGGAATCTCGGGTCTATGGGATTTCAGTTTGGAATAATTATGTTTAAAGTATTAGCCGTGGGCTAAGTTATTTGTGGAACAGAAAAAATGTGAAGTTCTTAAAGAATTATTTTCAAAACTCTTGTACTGAAGCTTTTGTATTTCTCTGATTAAGTGTGCTATATTCATTGCATGTCAATGGAAATTGAACGCATACTGAGAAAGGAACTTCCATAAGGAAGGGATTTCAGACAGCTTAATCAGAGCGAGAAGGTAGTGTTGTGAAAACAACACTGTTGGTTGCCTTAGGAATAAGGAACCACCTCGTTCACTGAAGGTCCTGTACTTAGTAACTGTTGGAGTCAAAGGAGCCATAGGAACATGGAAACTTGTGAGCCATTTAGTCCATGAGCTGAGGAATCAGAATTAGCAGTGAAAAGACCTGAACAAATTCAGAAGGGTTAAGTCCTGAGTGGATAATATACTTATTTAAGAATGGAACAGTGAATATGTTCCTTGTGTTAAAAACTATTTTATCTCTCCATATTGTTGTCTCTTAGATATTGTTATTGTTATTTTCTTTATTTAATCTTGTATCAACAAATCTCCAATGAATATTGTCGTTCCTTCTCTCATCAAGAAGGATTTCATATTAACGACGCGAGGAGATGTTTGCTGTCATATTGAACTTGCTATTCTTGAGAAACGTTGTCGAGATAGTAGGGAACGTTTGACAAATAGATCAATTACTAACTTTTCTTTTCATTTTTATTCTTTTTAAAATAGTTTAAGGAATTATTTAGAATACTATCCTCGTGGGAACGATAATATGGGCACTAATAGTCTTATTTATTACTTGATGCGTGCACTTGCGCACTTGGGTTGAAGTCAAGAGAACGAATGTGTTTTCTCTTGATGAACTGAAGTAAGGGAACATCCTTTACAAGAATATTTTAAGCAACCAACAAGTTCACACCCAACACTACCCAAAGAGGATAATTGTGTGTTATAATTATAATTTTGTTTAGGATGAAGTTAATAGAGGTGCATTGGCCTAGGTGATCTCTTTGCCCCAAGGGGATAAATCTCTTAACCCAATGTATGCTCACCGAACAACTTTTCTTTGAGGTTATAGATGAAGTTATTGGAGGCTCATTGGTCTAGGGATTTATCTACCCAAAGGGGATGGATTTCCAAACCAATGTTGTGCTTATTGATTAACTCATCTGAGGTTCTGACCTTGGTTGTGCATTCTGCCCAAAGGGGAATATACTATTATATTGGCCTTGTTATGACAATATGTTGTGCTCAATGATTAACTCATCCTGAGCAACTTTTTCTTGACGTTGTAGATGAAGTTATTGGAGGCTCATTGGTCTAAGGATCTATCTGCCCAAATGGAATGGATTTAATGTTATGTTCATTGATTAACTCATCTGTTGTTCTGACCTTGGTTTATACATTCTGCCCAAAGGGAAATGTATTATTATGTTGGCCTTGTTAAAACAACCTATTATGCTCATTCATAAACTCACTCGAGATTCTGGCCTTGGTTTAGACCTTGGTCAGTACATTCTGCCTAAAGGGGAATATATTATTATGTTGGCCTCATCATAATATCTTGATTTAATTGAAGGTGTATATTGCCCTGTAATTACTCTAATGTATTATTGTTTTCCCTTAATAATGAACTTCTATGTTAGTTCCTTTAAATTAATTTGAAAACATGTTTGATTCATTTTGAAATCAATATCTTGAAATATTTATTTTAATTTTTATATACATAAATATTTATTTGGAATTATTTGCTCTCATTCTTATTTGATTTTGTGACATCTTATTCATGTTTATTTTGTGAGAAATAGTTATGATTTTTTTACTCAAATTTTAGTTAATGAAAATTATTATAGATTATGGTGATTATAATGTTAGTACTTACTCTCCTTATTTTAGCATAGATTTTATGTACACTATTAATTAAGTTTAATTAGTGAGCTAAGATAAATAATTGCTGATACTGAGGATCGAAATTTGTGAAATAAATTGTAGTTTAGTAAATACATAGTAAATACAATATAAATTTGGGAATCATATGCTATAAGGTTTTTCATATTATTTCGGTATAATTATTCATAATTTTATTTATGAATTGTCTAGGTTCTTTATTAATAAAATTTATTGCTTGCAATTACCTGCTCAAAGAAAATTATTGTATGCATCAATTTTTGAAATTTGCATTGAGTTAAAATTTTAAATAATGTGAAATAATTCTATACTATGTACTCTGCCCAAAGGAGAGTTTATAATATGCTAATTATTTCGTTAAAATTACTTCATTGCCCATAATTAATATGATATCATTTTTGTAATAAATATACTTTTGATATGAATGATAACAATGTCATGATAGAATTGTTGATTTGATTGAATTATGATGAATGGATATGAGATCTAAATTTTTCCTCATGAATTTTGATCAGGATAGGGCATTGCGTTAAAGTTAGCCTATAATTAATGTAAAGAGTATACTTGGCATTTTTTTAATGGAGAGATATAATTAATTTTGTGTGATCTTTAAGTTATTATGGAGTTAATAGGAGATATTTGCTTTGTTTTTTTACGTCGGGATATGAGTTTGTATTAAAATAAACTTTCTATAAGGCCTTATTACGGAGGGTTTTGAATTTTATATCTTATTTGGTTCACCTTGGATTTTTTATTTTGGTGATGAAAAATAATATTAAATTCTTATGTTATTGACTGACTTTGAATTTTATTTATTAATTTATTTTGTGGATGACTTAATTGTTAAGCATTTGGTTCGACCCTTTAACTTAATGACGACCTAGGTTCGTGGTATTTCGTAACCCGCCAAAAATGAGCTGCCAACCCGAGTCAACTCGACCTGATCCAATCCTGAAAAAAATGAGCCAACCCGCGGGTCAAACGGGCCAGCTCATGGGTTGGGTTTCTTTTAATTAAAAATAATAATATCAAAAAGACAAAAGCTGCAGTCGACACTTTCTTAATTCTTTCATCGTTTTCAACGAGCCAGCCCTAATCTTCTCAATTTAACATTTCTCCATTATCAGCCAAGTTTTATTGGATCAAAGTGAATCAATTCAAAGGTAAAGCTTTGAACATTTCTCCTATTTCTTCGAGACCCTTCTTTGGTAATGCTTTGAACGCAAGAGTTGCAAGGAAGTTTCAGTTTCGGGTCTCTCATGCTCCAAAGCTCAATTTTGGGCCAATTATTGTTTCGCTTAATGGTGTTTCTAATGCTGGGCTTCTTCCCAAGGAGTTGGAATTTTAGCCATCCTTCGACGAATATTTGAAGGCTATGGAATTTGCCAAAACTGTTAGGGGCAAGAAGCATGCTAATGATGCTACTATTCAAAAACAGAAGACAGGGGGAAATGGAGATGAAGGAAATGAAAATAAAAAAATTAGAAGGGTTGGAGAGAAAATTGATACAAAAGATGGGTTTTGAAGCTGCTAAAGAAGACGTGGCATTAAACGAGTTTTTTTTTTAGTCAACCCGCGATCCAACCCGTGCGCCAACCCGCAGACAATATTTCGAACTAACCCGCGAGCTTTTCTTGAGCCAACCCATGAACTTTTTTTCGAGCCAACCCGCGAGATTTTTTCTGAGTCAACTCGCGAGCCAACCCTAACCCAGCTCGGGTCGGGCTGGGTTGGGTTTTCTGGCTCGTTTTTTTTCGAGACAACCCTAACCCAGCTCGTTTTTTTCGGGTTGAATACGGGTGCGGCCGTGTCGAGCCGGGTTGGCCCGTTTTGA